TTTCTAGGATAGCCAGGATCTGTTTTCTAATGTCCTTTGTTATTTTGAGTAAGTTTGATTTGTTTCTAATGCTATTCTCTCCTTCAGCATCCTCAAGGATTGGCATTGGGTGAATTGGGAGTTTTGGGTGACCTTGTATTGCCTTGTCTTCTCATGATTTTATTGGCTTTTTTGGTGATTTTTGTAGTGATATACTTGGCGATCTATAGTTCTTTGCCTGTGTCCCAAGATATGACCACTTCATTTAATTTGGAAGGGAGTAACTAGTTCAACACCAAGTTCTTTGGTAATGTGCTCAAGTACCATCAATGCCACAAAGATAATCTGGGTTTTAGTTTACAGAGAAAACCCATTAAAAGCAACATTATGCAACACTTGTAATAGCAAGGAAATCAGCTACAATAGTACTGCGCAAAGCAAAGCAGATATTAGCATACCATAAGACCCAGTTATGTACCACCCTTAATGCTAAAAAAGAAATCCACAATTAAAGTTTAAACATTAAGAGAAATCAAGTATTGACTTGTAGATAGTATACTAAATGTGACAGGTATGATTTGGTAGTGGTAGAAAAGATTTCAACAGTAACTTTGTAGACTTAACTATCTAAAGATCCATAGACTTTATGGCTGTACTATTAAAGATGTAGGGGTTGGGGAGAGAAGAATGCAGGAAAAAAATATAAAACCTTAAGCTATATGATATGAGAAGAAGGGCAGAAAAATGGGGCAAAGGATCTTATTGGGAAGTAGGAGGATGTTTATAGAATTAACAAAGGCAACAGTAAAAACTGATGAGAAATTGAAGGTAAAAGAGAAAAGGGAAAAAAATGAAATTAAATGGAGGATAAAAATATGAGGGAAAGTTAAAGAGAGAAAAATTAAAAGGGAGAAGAAGAAAGATACTAAAGAAAAAAAGAAGTAAAAAGAAAAAGATTAAGAAAAAAGAGGAAGCAAGGAAAAAGACAAAGGGAAATGCCCCAAACCTCAAAAAGGAAGCAAGGAAAAAGATGGAAGAAGAGGCCTGTGGGGGCTGGGCCTGCTTCTGTTAGTTCAGCCCCTCAGGGCGACTCTTTCTAGCCTGCTCTCTGACTGTGGACGGCTGCTGTGCTGTCTCTCACCTGGTCACTGTGGGAGCATAACACAGGGAGCTCTGATGTGGATGCCTGGCCAAGCACTCTGTGCAGGAGATACTTGAGGCAGCTGAACGGTAGTTCTTGCCTGCCACAGGGTTCCAAGGTCCCTTCAGCTCATAGTAACTGCCTGTTTGTTCCTCCCCTGCATTTTTCCTTGAGGTTTCTTGGAGTTCCCAGCTTTCAATTTCTCTCTGTAGATTTGGTCTCCCCTCCCTATGAGTCACAAGCTGAGTACCAGGGAGAAAGTACAGACTGTCTCTTTCCTTCTCCACATTTCATTCTGTCTCTTTGGGTTCTCTTTAGCTGTTAATTTTCCTGTCAGATCCTTCCCAGCTTCTGGGGATCTACTTCTCTATCTTTTCTTCCCCAAGTTATTTTTTTCCCATGTCTGGATCCCAAATCTTGGAGGCTTCTTTTTACTGATCATTTCACTGTTTTCTTTCTCCTCAAGAATTTCATTTGTGAAAACTGGATTATTTATTTTATTATTGCTTAAGACTTTAGAACATCTTGGACACATGCATCTTATTGTATATATGATTTGCTAGTATTTTCTTTCATTTTCCTATGTTTTACTATTTCAGTGGTATCATTTACAACATTAAAGCTTTTAAAATGTTAGGCTTTTTATAATTGTTATCAATCTTTCTTTACTCCTTGTTTTAGTGTAAGAACTTAGAAAAAAAGAGTCTAAGCAAAAAATAAAAAAGTTTTACTCTGAGAATCTTAAAGTCTTAGCTTTTCCATTAAGGTCTATGATGCATTTTAAGTTAATTTTGCTGTTCTAGGAGACAAACAATTCATTTGGATGTGACTTTCCAGTTTTCACCAAAACAACTCATTGAAAAAAAATCTCATTTTCACTCATTGAATTCTCTTGCATCTTTGTTGAAAATCTAGAGACTATCAATTTCAGAGTTGATTTCTAGACTCTATAATTCTGTGACATTTTACTCTCTATACCTATTACTTTGCAAGTACTACACTTTTTTTTAATTACTTCAGTATTTATTTATCTCAAAATGTCTTGATTATTGCTTCACTTAGTGGATAATTGGACATATAATTGTTTTTTCTTTTAGCATTGGGAATATGTCTCCTGTTCTTTATAATTTCTGATGAGGAAACAACTATTAACCTTATTCAGCAGCTATAATGAGTCATTTCCTTCTTGTTGTTTTTTCAATTCTTTGTCTTTGGATAGCTTGACTATAATTTGTCTAAATATACCTCTTGAGTCCATCTGAGAGTTCACCAAGCTCCTTGCATGTGTAATATTTCTAAATAAAGTAGGAGAGTTCTTTGACTATTTTTTTCATTAAATGTACTGTCTCTTTTTCTCTGTCCCTCCTATAAACTCCCTTATGTACTTATATGTATCATAGCATTCATTTTCTTTCTTCTGTTTTTCTTCCTGCTTCTCTTACCGAATAACATAATTTACCTATATTCAAGTTTACAAATTCTTTTTCCTGACTGTTTAATTTGCTTTTGAGTCCCACCACTGAACATACTTTGGGTAATGTATTTTTCAACTCCAGAATCTCTACTCTTTTTCTTTTGCTATAAAATCCATTTGTTGATATTCTCTACTTGGAAAGACATTGTAGGTTGTCATACTTTCATTAAATTCTTTACATGTAGTTTACTTGAGTATGTTTAGAATAACCAATTTTTTTTTACCTAATATATTCATTATCTGGTCCTATTCAAGAATATTTTCAATTGCCTATTATGTGTGTGTGTGTGATATTTCCCTATTTTTAAAAAAATATTTCTAATTTTTTGTTCTGAAAATCAGAAGCTTCAGAACACATGAGGTAGTGACTGTGAAAATCAGGTACCTGAAATTCTTGGATTTATTCAGGTTGCATTCTCTGATGAGTTCTCTGTAGTGAGTCATTACTGAAGCTCCCTTTTTGGTTCTGCCTTATGCTAAGGATGTGTGTGTGTGTGTGTGTGTGTGTGTGTGTGTGTGTGTGCATCTGTCTGTCTTGGGGACACCTTGAATGCTAAGGCTTTTTAGCTGTACCTTACTTTTACTTCTTGTTGAAAGACTAGCTCAGACAGATGCTGGAGATTAGGTTCTCTCAGTTTTTGTCCAAGTATGTCCACAGAGTTATTCACATATCTAGCTCTCCAGACACTCAGGAATGTTTCAGAGCTTTCTAAATTTCCCTGAGGCATCTTACTCTCCACTCCCCAGATTATATTTTTAAGTTATTGGTTTGCTTATTGCCCCAACTGATATAGTAGTCTCAGGTAGCTGGTGTGTTAAGCAATTGATACTGAGTTTTAAAATGTCCTGGCAAGAAGGCTTTCCCCACAAAATGAGTAGTTTAAATAACTGCAACAATCTGAGAAGAAATTTTCCAGGGAGGTATAAGGCAGTGAATAGTAACAAAGCTCTAGAAAGAAAGGCCTTTTGATGAGGAATGAACTCAGTAGACCCTCTTGTGGCTCCGTAGCTGCAACTTTTCACAGGTATAGAGGTTGTTAGACTGGTAGTCTTTTTTTTTTTTTTTTTTTTAGGTACCAGGAATTGAACTCAGGACCTTGCACTTGCCAGGCAGGTGCTTGTGCCACTGAGCTAAAACCCCAGCCCTAGACTGCTAATCTTTAGGACAAGTACAGCATTGGAAAAAATGAGATAAGTCAAGTTAAAATACCCTATGTTCTTCACCTTTAAAAATAAGTGCTTTCCAGATTTTTGCAAGCCATTTATTAATTTTGTTAATTTTGAGAACATTGACTTGAACAATTTATATTTGTGGTTTTATTTCCTTTATGAGAGAGTGAATTTAGGGATATACATCAGTCTGCTACTCTAAAAATTACTCATGAATTAATTCTTTTTAATAGCTGAAGAAATGAAGTCATAGAAAGAAGATAAGGTGATCTCTTCTAAGACAGTCTTGAGGCTGACAACCTTTTCTCTACTTCTTTGTCTAATAACCTCATTCCTCTTTGGTAGTCAGTGGAATTAGGTTGAGGAGTTTAGTCACAGCAGTTCCGTGTGACCTCGTCCTCACTCATTTTACAGACAGATCAAGGGGATAAACTCTTCTCTTGTGCAATATAAACACTAGCTCTTGAAGCAAGACTAAGAAATAGAGCATGCAAAACACTGCAAGTCTCCTGACTCTGATTTGTTCACCCTAGTTGGACATAGGGTAATTGGAAAAGATCACAACAGGTGGCTAAGAAGAACTTCTCATCTACATACGCCTATATTTAAATATATTTTAAAAACTAGACACTAATTTTTTCTGCCCCACATCTCACTGTGGTTGGCAGGCAGCACTACTAATACAGCAATATTTAATCTCTTATCCAGTCATGCTGCTTCATTCAACCTCATTTGCTGTGGAATGGGGGAGATTTTGTGAGACTATTTCTCTTATATAACAAAAGAGATGATTGTTTGATACTTTCTGTCAGATATGTGCTAGCCAAGTTACAGTGTCTAATCAAAATAGAGCAGAGACTTCATAATTACCTGTCATTACATCCTCTTTAGTTTAGACACCAATTTGTGTTAAAACAGCCTTTACAAAAATGTTCTTCTCTTGCTGGTTACATTTTATTTTATTGATTTCCTGTCTTGTATTTGTGTGCAGTCTACTTTTCTTTAAATGTTTGCCTCCTTATTGTAAAATACTTTTTGAACTTTATCCAGAAAAAGACATAATGTTTTGCATTCTCTTTTTATTATTTGTTCCATTATTTTCTCTTTACTCCATAATAATATTATTAATAAATAATATTATTTATTCCATAATAGTAATTTGAAAAAGACTTCAATGAAAATGTAACATAAGGTGGAAAGGGTTTTATGTTATCATGCAACTGAGTTCATTCTTACCTACTTTGAAAATTTTTACCAGCAATCTTCAAGGATGAGAAGTGGGCAGCCCATACATACTTTAACAGGTCGTCAAAGCTACTAGATGGTGACTTTACATGCTATCCAAGAAGAAGAATGTTATTAATATTTAAGTAATTATAAAAATATGCCTTCCCCCAAAATAATTGTTTACAAATATAATTTTTCAACATGTTAAATTAAAGGACAACACTGTCTCTAAGAACTAAGCTATCAAAAGTTTACCACTTAATAGTTCCTCAGAATCTTACCATTATTATATTAATTAATGGTAATATTGAATCTATTTGAAAGGAATAAATCAAGTATGTCTGTTTATTTTGAGTTTTCAAAACCTTTTAGAAGAAGACCTTTAGTGCTTTGTATAATTATCTTTCTCCTCTCATGAAATGAACCTCCTGTAAATTCCCAAGAGTGAAATGAAGAGATAGGTTGGAAAAGTAGGAGACTTTGATCAAGTCATATGCAATATAATAAGCAAGTTTTCTAAAGGCAAACTGCATTTGTTTGCTTTGTTTTGTTTGTCTGTTCTTTTTGTTTGTTTATTTATTTATTTTGGAGATAGATCTTGCTATGTTGCATAGCTGGTTTATACTCAGTCTTTCCAACTGCACCTCCTAAGTGCCTAGGATTATACCATGCAGCATCATGCCCAGTTTATACAGGGAAAGTTGATATTTAGCCATGACACATTATTTTAGACAATAATATTTGATTTGATTATTAAATGATCATTTTAGTCAACTTATGATCACTTGTCAAAAGAGTTAAAATAAATGATCAAATTCACTAAAACCTGTACCATAATTATAGCTATATATAAGTTGTTATTCAGTTGACCTGAAATTATGATGTACCTGAGCACTTTATGAACTGTTATGCCATAATTTCTCTGTGCTCACATGTTTGTGTACAATTTATTATGTACAAGAAGTGTTCTTAGTGCTGCCTCAAAAATAGTGTATTGAGAATAAGATGCTAATGAGATATGATGTCATTCCACAATTAATTTGTATTCATATTTTTTACATCATAATAAATATTTATACTGAGGAATAGTCCCTAAGAACATATGTATCTTTCAATGTTTAAAAGTATTACATGAAACAAAAAATTATCTTGTCATTTTAAAAGATTATTAATTAAAATGTTAAAAATAAACCTGGTAAAATTCATTCCACTTTTTCATTGCTTCTGGAAATGATGAGTGACAGCTGGAAGTATTGTAACAAAAATTCTTCTGATCCTTGGGTGGTGGCAGAAAGATGACGTCATCTGGTGATATCCCTATGATCCCAGCCTCCCCCACAGCAAGGAAGGGTATTATGGAGAGAAAATAATTTACATCTGTATAAGCAGAAAGTTGTTATCAGTATAGCTGATAAAGACAAATAAACTTCAAAAAACTATCATAAAGGTAAATCGCATAGATTAGAAACAGGTTGTAAAATTTAATCAGTAATTCAAGGCTCTTGGGAAATTTCAACAAAATTTCCCTAAGGATCCTACGCAACTTCAGTGTTCTGCTTTAAAAAATCCTACTCTCGTAAAGTAAAAAGGATCTATATTGTTGCTACACTCTTTAAAATTATAAATAATAATAATAACTAGCATCTCAATACTAATTGCATTCTAAAGCATGAATAAAATTTTAGTAACTTTACAGAATCTTATACTGTCCTTTGGCCAGACATGTTTATTCTAAATGGAAAGTCTCTTATCTCTGTAAAATACATGAATATATAGGAATTTTATTAAAAAGTTGTATTTTGAACCATAACATAAATTCCTCCCGCTGTCCTTTGTTTTTAAATCAACTTGTTTACTCCATGCTTGCAGTACATAATGACACAGTCACCGTGGGGAGTTGGCACATGCACCTAACCCGTCTTAATTCTTTTTACTCCCCTTTCTCCTCCTCAGTCCCTCCCTCTCTTTGTCCCTTTCCCATTTGTGAAAGATCCCTCTCCTTATTTCCTAGTATACATCCTTAATTTAGAGGAACTTTCCAGGTTACTATTTTTCCCCAGTTGACATTTTCATAATTGAATATACTGAGTGGTAAATTTTTAAAACATCTAAAAGCTCATGTCAAAACTTTCAGATTTAAACCAAACATATTTGCTTTCATTCTCTTGTCTGTAATTGGGATTTTAAGTTGAGTTGCTTCTTGGTGGAACAACGATGCGTTTGAGATCCGCGACATGGGTCCCACCTGCCCACCAGCTGTCCACAGAGAGGCACAGACGGTCCCCAGATTCCTTGCCACAGCTCGTCCTTTGGGTGGGGTCGGCCAGCCTGCCTGGAAGAGAGGATGCAGAGTTGGATTTACTAAGAACATTTCTGTGTATACAAAAAGCAACCAGATATAGTTATATTTCTGGAAGAATGTCCCAATTATTTATTTTTCTGAACAAAACTCTTACTTTTCCCATCACTTCTCTCCTTCATTTAAGTTTTTGCATCCTATCCTCCTTTTACTTTTTAACACCCCTTGACTCTCCCACATGTTATACTTTAACCTTTGTCTTCTATCTGTTATTTTTTTAACCCTTTAGCTCTTGTGTTTGCTTAATAACTTCTCTTTATTATCTCAAAGTTAGGGAGTCAATATCCACGTATGTTAAACAAGATGTGGACTTCCTTTGTGTAAAATCTAATCCCTTTCCATTACTTTCCCACTGTTTGACCTGGATAGGTAAGTTCTACAGGGTTCAAATTTCTCATCTACATAATGTACAGTGAAAAGTAATTGCGACTGCAGGTTTGAGCAGTGCTATCCATCTCACATGGAGATGGATGTGCAAGATGTCCTCTGCAGTGAACTCATACATGCTTTTAAATATTAGTATTTTATTGTGTTTCATCCCCCATTCTTTTCAAAACCCTCCCTTGACTCTTTCTCAGCAAGATTTTCTTTCTGGCTCTTTTACCATCTGATTTTTTGTGTTTTATCTTCTGAACATGCTCCTGGCATCTTTCTTAAGCTATCTTAAGAGCTATCTTAAAAGCTATCTTTTGAATCAATGCCAAATTCTTTTCCAGTTGGAACCGTTTCCACATTTGCTACCATTCCTCACCTTCTCCTTGCTCTATCTTCCCCCAAGCACTGTTTGAACTTTTTGTCCCTCTTACCCACTCATCTTTTAGGTGGATGCCCTTGCTTTCTCCAAACAACTCTTTACCTGCAGGATTTGTGTTTTCCCCTTTCCCATTTTCCACCTGTTTCGTGCTCATCCTTCTCCCACTGCACCCTTTGGCTCCCACGAACCTGTTTGGTTTCCCCTCTGTTTTCTCACTCCAGCTTCTCTCCCAGCCTTCTGGACCTAGTTCCTCTCAAGTTATTCAAAAAGAAAGATCTGGATTGTAATGCTGGTGATTCTCAAAATCATCACTCTTTCTTTAAAATAATAACCAGTAGTGTGTTCGTAGTTCTTAGGTTTGGTTTCGTGTTCCACAGTTATTTTTCTAATTTTTTGATGACATTTTTTTTACCCTGTCTCAACTCTGAAGAATTTCTTTCCAGTTCTGATATTTTTCCAACTAGAGTTTCTACTGAATAATAAAGTGGAAAGACTGATATATGCTTCAGGATAGATGCAGGTCACCATATACATGAGAACAGAAATAAATGACAACAAACAGCACATAGCTTTTTATGTGAAAAGTATAGTGTGATGGCCAATATACAGATGTCCCCTAAAGTCTCATGTGTTCAGAGGTGGAGTGTGGGGAGGTGACTGGGTCATGGATCACTGGTGTGTGGTTCTGGGCCATGGGCCTGTGGACTGGATTAGTCCATGAATGGGATTAGAGCTGGGTGAGTCCCTCCTGCTGTCTTGGCCTTTGCCTTGCTCTCTGCCTGCCCTGCCATGGACTGTTTGTCTGCTGTGATGCCTCTCTGCCAAGCCACTCTGCCCTGAAGCTAGCTGACTGTGGCCTGAAACCTCTACACACTGAGCCAAAATAAACCTGTCCTCCTTTAATTTGAGGGTACTGGGTATTTTGTGTCAGCAAGAAGAAAGTAACTAAGATGTATAGGTAATGCAATTCTGATTATTTTTTTTCTCCCTTGTACTGGAGATTGAACACAGGGCCTTTGCAGTGATCTACATGCTTAGACCCCCTTTTTCTACTTTTTTTTTTCTTTATTAATTTTGAGATATTGTGTCCTAAGTTGCTAAATTTTCATCTGTGAGACTGGGCTCAAACTTGTGATCCTCCTGCCTCAGCCTCCCAGAATGCTGTGGTTGCAGGTATGAGCTGTCACTCCAGGGTTTGAATCTGCTTTTGGATTCACTCCTTTTGAGCCTATTCACTTTTTGAGAATGTTTGCCTGTTATGGAAATTTAACAACTCCCTATGTTGCTGTCTTTCATACTCTGTGCCCTAAGTCCTTACTTCACCCACTCCCACGTCTTTCGAATGCCCACAAGGTGCTCCACTGATAACCCCATGTCACCTCCCCTGAGCTTGCCTCAAGCTGAGCTCTTCAGCTTAAGAGCCAAGCAAGAACGTTTTGTAAACTTTTTTGGTTCCTTTACTGCTTTGTTGAAGGTATGTGTCTTTATATCTTAAGCAATTTCTCCTTCTTTGTAGTTAATATCTGACCATTTTATAGCCACTATGTCCATTTGCTATAGTTTGACTCTTGGAAAAGTTTTTTCTTGCCTTCTCTTGGAAAGAAATATATCGTTCTCAATGACCAAAAACTGCTTTTTTCTTACCATTTTTCCAAGAGCAAAGTAATGCAATCTTTGTTGCAAGTCAAACCCAAATTCCTGCCCTGAATTTGTCCTGTTCCCACCTCTATTATATCTGAAGCCTGAACTTTGCATCTTGTTTCCAATACTCTCTTCATTCTCCCTTTTTGTTTCTCACTTGTGCCACCTCAGTTCCAAACTCTTTTCTTTAGCTCGTTGTCTCTGTCTTCATGTCCTTTCAATTTTGAGCCATCCAAATTTCTAAGGGTTTAGAAGGTCAAATCTATTTTATTCCAAGGTCTTTCCAGCACGCAGTATTTTCACATTTATCTAGAATCTTATGATTCAGAGGTTTTATTGTCCTCTTGTTGTTACTGTTGTTTTTCTAACTTTCCTTCCTAAATATTGTAAGCTTTTGGAGGGAAGCCCTGACCTCTGCCTCAAGCACTTGGACACCTGCTATAATTCATGCCGTTTTCTCTGTCTCAGATTTCCAATGTTTTCTTCCTAGTTTGGTATTTTCCCAATTAAAATTTCAGTTGAACGAAAAAGATGTATGAACTATTAACATGTGAAAGTAAAAATTAATAAAATATTGACAAGTAACTTATTATACACATTCCCATAAATATATGCATACTTTATTATAATTATAAGAACATTATAATTAAGCAAGCTGAACTAAAAATATTTGTGACAATTGAAATAGTCACAAAACAGTACATAGCTATTCCCATGAAAACTGTGAATAGTACAATCTAGTGTGCAGTGCTAGGAAAAAGATTTGTGGTTCTCTGTAACAGTGGGAAGCACAGTGGTGGGAAGGGCAGAAATAGGGGGAGGGGACATAGGTGCTAGGAAAACACCTGAGGACAGTGATACAAAGGGGGGGGGTTAAAAAATCTTCATATAGTCATTGTCTGTGGTGACAGATTCAGTGCTATATAAATATATTAAAACCCATCAAATAATACCTTTAGAGTGTATATTTTATTGTATTTTACACCTCTAGGAGAGTAGAAAACTCAAGTAAGCAAGCAAAAAGCAAACACGCAATGTGCTTAAGTGTTGTGAAAGCATTAAGTCCTTATTGTTGAAGAGCCCAATCCAAACCCTGTCTCCTTTTGAAGATATCTCTCAAATTGGCCCCAATTAGTTTTCTCCTTTTAACCACCCAACAGTCTCACATTCCCCAAGTCTGCCAGTTTAGGAGACTTGTTTCTATTATAGCCAATCATATTTATGTTTTTTGTAATATGCTGCATGTCAGTATATGTGATCATCACTAGCTACTGCTGGTTGAATGGAAATTAAATAAATTTAAGAATTTAGTTCTGCCAAGTATTAGGCATTGCAAGTGCTTAATAGCCACATATATGAATATATGAGCACAGTACTGCTCTTGCTTATAATGGATATATAAAAATTTTTCATCATACACAATTCTATTTCACAGTGCTTGTAGAAAATCAGTGTATGTAGAGGATTCTATCAGTGTTTGAAAAGGGAAGGTTAGTTAAGAATAAAATGAAAAATAACAGAGGAAGCATGAAAAATAGGTGGAAAGGAAATAGGAAGTAGAAGCAATCAATTTTCAATAAGATGTTTTTATATACAAGATACTACTTCCTAAAAATTTATGATTAAATAAAATATCACTGTAATGAAAACAGTCACTCTTACCTGTATGATACTGCCATCCATGATGCACAGGTAACCCCCATAAAAGATTTTGTTCATTTTCTGGAGCAAATTTTTCAAAATATTTGGCTGTCTGGTTCAATAAGATTTTATACATTCCTAATCTCTCGGAATAATTCCAGATATTAATGATGTACTTTCCATTTTTTACTTTATAATCGCTGACCTGACCAGGGCTCTCCTCCCACAGAGGGGGATACTTCTCAGAAATCTTGGAAGATACTGCTAAAGATGCAGAAATACAGGCAGCCAGGAGACAGACCACCGCAGGGTTGAAGGCCATGGTGCATGAGACACAGACAGCGACAATGATGAGACTTTATGAGGAAGTGATGAAGTAATACATGTAATTATTTCCACATCTCTGCCAGTCAACACTCAATTCCATTGCTTACCAATGACTGGGAGGATATAAGACTGCCACACTGAACATAACAGAGTACTTCCTTTGCAAATTGTTTTCCAAATAAATAATGCAATTAGATATTCTTCTCTACAATGTTTAGTAAGATTTACTTTCTTTCAAATTTATTTAGGTCTTTGTCTTCTGTTGGTCTGTCTTTATTTTATTTTTGTTTTACAGAGAATAAAAAAATCAATAACAAAATAACAACAACATAGACAGAAGCAAAACAAAGAAAAACAATAAAAAGACATAGGGTTTCAGAACAAAATGATAGGAACTAACAGTGGTTATATTACATATTGTTATCATCAACAAACTTGCTCAGATTACCAGATGTAAGAATGTGAGATTGATCAAATAATTAAAGAGAATAAAAATAATAGAAAAACATTAGAAATGATACAGAGCACCACTAAACAAGATAGTAGAAATTCAGTAATGGTTGTTATATTGCATATTGTTGTCTTCAAATGAGTTGCTCAGATTACCAGATAGAATAATGCAAAATTGATCAAAAAATTAAGCATTAACTGTTCCTTTCAATAAACCATTAGACATAAGCAGTGCAATTATCCCAGCTATCCTTCTACTATCTATCTATCTATCTATCTATCTATCTATCTATCTATCTACCTATCATCTATCTAATCTATCTATATTTTCTCTTCCTTTTTTCTTTCTTTTTCTCCTTTCTCTCATCCCAGTTATTTATTCTTTTGGGCAATTTTTTTTTCCTTTCATAATATCTGTTGTATGTTTTGGGCTGTATTTACTCTTGCAGATTCTTACACAAGGGAGACAATGTGATGTTTACACATCTGGGTCTGATTTATTTCACTTATGAGTATGGTCTCTCATGCATTTACATATATAAGCCTCAAGTTTATCTTTTCATAGCTGAGTAATACTCTATTGTACAAAAATACCACATCTTTTTTATCCATTCCTCAGTTGATAGGTATTTGGGTTGTTTCCAAGATTTAGTTATGACAAATTGTGCTGCTATAGACCTGGGTGCACATATATCACTGTGGTATGATGTTTTTAATTCTTCTGGGAAAATACTCAGAAGGTGAAGAGCTGAGTTAAGTAGGACTTCTAAACCTAGTTTTGTGAGGAATCTCCACACTGATATCCACAGTAGTTTCATCAATCTACACTCCCAACAGCAGTGAAAAAGTGTTCCTTTTTCCCCCACAGCTTCTCCAGATTTTCTTATGGGTTGATTTCTTGATGATTGCCATTCTTTCTGGGGTGAGATGGAATCTCAGTGTTGTTTTAATCTGCATTTCTCAAAAGACTAATGATGTTGAACATTTCTTCATATATTTATTTACCATTAGTATTTCTTCATCTAAGAAGTGTATAATCGTCTCAGATCCTCATTTTTGGATTGGGTCCTTGAATTTTGGGGACCTGATTTTTTTTTTTTAATTCTTTCTATGTTCTAGATAGAAGTCTTCTCTCTGACAGACAGTTGGCTAAATTTTTTTCCCAGTTCGTGGGCTTTCTTTTTACTCTGTTGGTGATTTCTTTTGATGTGCAAAAACTTTTTAATAAGGTGAGATCCCAGTTGTTAATTCTTTGAAATAGTTCCTGTGCAGTTTGGTTTTTGCTCCTGAACTCTCTGCCTACCCATATGTCTTGAAGATTTCTTCCTACTTTCTCTTCCAGTCGATTTAGTGTTTCTGTTTTAATATTTAGATATTTGAGCTATTTTGACTTTTTGTTTAATGCATAGTGATAGATCTGGGTCTAGTTTCAGTCTTCCACATGTGGAAAGCCAGTTTTTCCAGCACCATTTATTGAAGAGGATATCTTTCTTCCAGTAAATATGTTTGGCCACTTTGTCAAAGCTAAGGTGGCTGAGTGTGTTTGTAGTTGTGTCTGCATCTTCTAATCTGCCCCATTGATCTTCAGGCCCATTTTTTCCCCAATGCCATGCTGATTTAAGCACAGTACCTTTGTAGTATAATTTCAAATTTGGGATTGTGGTGCCTCCACATGTTATTTTCATGCTGTTGGTTCCTCCTTTTCCCCTCTGTTTAATTGGTTGCTCTGCTTGGTGATTCCTTCCTATTGTTGTTCTTGAAATAGTGGTTTTTAAATCTTTTTCTAGAATATCTTTTAGTATTCTTTGTAAGATTGTTTTGGCAGTCATGAATTTCTTCAGTTTTTCTTTACCATGGAAATATTTTATTTCTCCATTAATTTTGAAGTATAGTTTTGCAGGGTACATCAATCTGGTTTGCAAGTTATTTTCTTTCAGTACCTAAAATACTTCACTCCAAGCTCTTCTTGACTTGATTGTTTGTGTTGAGAAATCTGCCATGATTCTGATGGGCCTTCTCTTTATAGGTGATCTGTTTCTTTTCTCTAACAACTTTTAATATTCTTTTAAAATTCTTTTGCTGAATTTCTGGGATTTTGATTGTTATGTCTGGTTGTAGATTTCTTTTGGTTCTGGCTAATTGGTGTTTCATATGCCTCACTAACTCTATGTCAGATTCTTTTTCCTTGCTTGGGAACTTTTTTGCTATTACTTCTTCAAGTAGCCATTCTATGTCATTTGTGTTGACCCCCTGCTGTTTCATTGACATTTATTAATCTTACATTGTGTTTCTTTGCTTTGTCTTGCAGCTCTTGAACTGATATTTCCTGGTTCCTTGTTAGTTTTAAGAGATCCTTTCTTTCACTATCATTAGCTGCCATGCTGTCTTCAAGGTCTGAAAGTCTATCTTGAGCTTCATTCAAGCAACTTTGCCAGCTTTTGATGGAATTTTTAATTTCCTGGATATCAATTTGAATCTGCTTTATGCATTCAAATTGTTTCCTATATTGTTCATTCAAGGTTTCCTTCATTTTTTTGTACTCCTCTCTTTTTTTATTTATGTCTTCTTTAGATTTTCTGAGCAATCCTTTCATTATGGCTGTCCTTTCTCTTTTCACCTGAGAGAGTATTTCTGATCTGATGTCTTCCATTGCCCTATGGAGTTTTTTCTTTACTTTGGTTGCTATCATTTCAGAAATTTCAAGTGTATTACTTCCAAGTTCTTCTGTATTGATGTCTACTGATCTTGTTCTGGGTGGGATTGAGGTCTGAGATTGCATTGTGCTCCTTCATTTTGCCATTTTTGAAGATCTGGATATTCCTATGAGCTCAGTCTGAGTCATGTGATGGCATGGGAGTGGCAGAGCAAGGACCTTAATGTACCTGGTGCTCAGCATGGCTCTTGTGACGTTGTGTGGGGGCAGAGTGTGGTTTCCAATGCTCGCCAAGCCTTTGGGTACTCTGTATGGCTCCTGCGAGGAGTTGTGATGGGGCAGGGCTTGGTCACAGAGGGCCCTGAATCTGTCCAGATCATAGCCTGGCTCCCACACTGGTGGAGGAGGGGCTAGGTTGGCTCACTGAGGTTCCTGAAGCAGTCTGGGGTTCAGCCTTTCTTCCATGAGGGTGCAGGAAGGGGGTGTGTTCACCACAGCCCCCATAGCTGTCCTGGACCCACAGTGCGAGGTTCTCACACTGGTGAGGGAGTGCTGAGGGTGCAGTCACTGAGACTGCTAAAGCTGTCTGGATTTCTCCGTGCTCCCATAAGTGTGCAGAGGAGGGTCAGGGCATGGTTACCCTAATCTGTCTTTATTTTAACTTTAACAAATTACATGTATTTTTACCATGCTACTTTTATTGGAAAGAAAACTGTTGATCTGATTAATGTTTGATTGGTGGGATTTTAAAACCAAAATTATAAAGAAAGCAATTCTAAATATAATTTGGAAGACAATTTTGTGGTATTTAGGGCTTCAGATCTCTTCTAAATTTCAGTTCACATGTCAGTTTAGATTCATATGTAAGACTCATTTACCCAAATTCCACATTAGCAGACTTTGAGCTGAAGCCTTTTGCATTTCTATTAGGTTGGTTTGGGTTAGAAAATTTAAAGGAAGCAGGCTAAACAAAGGAAAGGAGGAAAAAAGAGAGAGAAAGATATGAGTACTTGATTTTCTGTAGGATAATGAGAAACGTTATGAAAGACAGCTCAGAACCACTGGACCAAGATGTTTCAGAAGTAAGAAGAATTAACCTATCTCCTTTCATTGATCAAAGATGAGAAATAGATAGAAATTTCTTTTGCTAATCTGATTCCATAAGCCTGTATGCTAAGCGGATACTTGCAGGAGTCCCAGGAAGCAACAGAAGATTAAACTCACACCAGAGTAGCTGAAAGACACAGACATGATGGAAGTCAAACTGTCACGTTGTATGTATGGGAAGCAGGTCTGAATATGTGGGGACCTGGTATGACATCAGTGACCACAGTCAGAAGAGGAGGTGAACTCAGGAGTGATGCACAGGAAATTGTGGGTTTTGGAATCCTTACACTGTTTATTATGAGATTCTTAGTGATGGCAGTGATGAGCTCCCATAAGCCCAGTACTGTACTTCCTGTAGGAATGTGCTGTGTGTTTATTCTCATCACGATGAGTTGCTCACAAGTGTATACATGTAAAATCATGCTCAAGCCTCAGCCTCATTCAGCAGATATTTACCAAGGAATGACTTCATTTGTGCTGCTACACCAACACAAGCTTCCAGTGGTAAATGAAGTAAAAAGATTGTTTATGAGATGTTGCATCAAGTATTGTTCAAGAATGTAAATACTGGTGAAAGAATCTAATGTGTGATAAATGAACTTTACCCTTAATTTGATTTTTTAACTTTCCATTTTATTATTATAAGAGAGAACTAATCAAATAAGCAACATTAGGAAGCCGCAAAGAAAGACTACCTTAGTCCAAGGAATTCTGGCATTGGGGAAAGGAAGTTTATATCTAATTAATGTGATGAGGAAATTTTAATAACTATAAATTGTATTGAT